TTCGGAGTTGATGCTGCTGCAGCTGCTGAAAACGAGGGCCTTAGAAATCTTAGAAATCCTCATCCTGGGAATTTGGAGGCAGAGAGCAGGGTTCACGCTGCTGACATGACATCAGGGGACTGTGCCGGGGTTGGGGGGAACCGGGAGGCGGGACAGGAGAAGGCTGAGGAGCACACAGGGCCGCCTTCGTTCAGCAGCAGATGGCAGCAGCAGACTCGTTGGATGAAGCAAGGGGAGGCAGTGTGGTGGGTGAAGGGGCAGAGGCGGGTGGGGAGCCGAAGCGGGTGGCGGGGAGAACCGGGAGGAGGGACAGGATTGCGCTGAGGAGCAGGTGGGGCCACCTTCCTTGCTGCAGCAGGTGGCAGCGGGGGGCTCGTCGGATGAAGCAGGGGGAGGCAGGGAGGCATGTGGGTTGACTGAGCCGGGTGGAGGGGGTGAGACGGGTGGGGGAGCTGAGGCCAGTGGGGGAGCCGAGGCGGGTGTGGGGGGGAACCGGGAGGAGGGACATGGGAAGGCTGAGGAGCATGACGGCCCGCCCTCGTTGCAGCAGAAGGTGGCAGTGGCAGTCTCGCTGGATGACACAATGGCAGGCAAGGAGGCGTGTGGAGGGGCGGAGGCGGGTGGGGATGGGTCGATGGATGGAAGCAGTGATGGGGCGAGGGTGAATGGTGCCATCTCGGGGGGTGCAGAGGAAGAGCAGAAAGGTGGAGCAGGGAGGATGTGTGCAGGGAGTGGTGGGGTTGATGACTGTACGGGTTCCAAAGTCTATGCAGGCAGCTGAGACATACGGTAAGTGGTTTGGCAGTCTTCGAGTTGGTGTGTGCGGTGCACTGCGGCAGGCTACGCGTCTCTGTGCTGGTTGGTTCGGTGGCTTAGGATAGGCAGCGTGATACTGGTAGTACTCTAGTAACGATGGGTTGATTGTAGGCCGTTACGTTACTGTAGCATAATTAGGCTGCAAGGCCCATTTCAGGAGCTAAGGCCACACTGCTTAGTTGCAATGTGTCTTAGGGTACGTTCCTGTGGAGACACTTGTGTCTCAATCCTTCTGTGACGCGTTAAAACCAGCATATAACGTACAATGTCACAAACGCGTGTCGCCCTTGTGCGACTTTTAATGTATTTTTCATTTGTCAGCGTGAAACGCGCTGATGTCGCGGACGAGTTGCGTATCGACCCGTCATTGTCAACAACTCTGTATGTGATTCGAAATGTCAATGCACCTGGACATTCCACAGTAAAAATCTCGCGCAGGAAAAAGTTCCGCTCGTCAAAACCCCACCCGAACCAGACAGTTGAAGAAATGAAATTTTTCGAAAGTGTGTAACACTTTCTAAAAATGTGTATTGTGAAAGCGCAGCTACCGTTATACCCCGGATATACCCCCATGGGGGGGAATAATAAAACAGGTTTTTTTTAGGGGGTGGGCTTATAATCGGGTAACTTTATAAGCGCCGGCGTTTATAAAACGACATATATAGTTTATATATTTTTTTAACACCAACCTGTACTTCTCGTGCTTGCATTTTCAACCGAGCCGAAGTTACATGGGGTCGTCTGTGAAATTCTCACGCGCACTGGGAGATACACCAAATCTGACAGCTCTTGACAGCTTTTGACAGCTTCTGACAGCTCCTAACAGCTCCTGCTGACTGGACCCGCATCCAGTGAAGGGTCCGAATTTTAAGGGAACCGAATCTGGAGACATCCGCTTGCTAAAGTAAAATTCGTTACAGGGTTTTGAACCCATTTCAAGAATTAAAGTTTACGTGCGCTTATAATAAAACAGGTTTTTTTCCAGGGGGTGCGCTTATAATCTAGCAGCGGATATAAGCGCCATGCGCCAATTAAAAGCGCCAGGCGCTTATCCTAGGGTGGCGCTTATATCTGGGGTATGACGGTACCTGTAACGAAACAAAGCAACGGCGAATTACAATTCGCCGAGTATATAACGAGGGTTGGAGGCCATTCGGCCTCCACCCACGACTTCATTTCGGAACTTTGCAGTTCCACTCCCCACCCACCCACCCTAGTCGTATATTGTATATCATAATAGTTGGACGAGAATGTTGTATTACTGCAATTGTAATGAAGCCCCGTTGCCTTAGCAAGAACAGAAAGCAAGCTTTCTCAATGCAGGTGTTCAGTCAAGTTTGAAATCCAATCAAATGAGCACAGCTGTAAATTTCGTCTGGTCACACAGTTTCGTGATACACTCATTTTTTGTGACGCGAGATTGCAAAAATGTGTAGACGCGACTCGGAAAGAAGGGGATTGAGACACAAGTGTCTCCACAGGAACGCACCCTTAGTGACTAATACAGGTTCACAGCATAATAGAGAACGATTTATGGAAAGCTTATGTGTTTTTATATATGCAGTGCCACTACCCCTAATTGTAAATAAACTTCTAGGAGTGCAGGATCACCCTGCCTGCTGTGTTGGAAGAGGGGACAGATGTGACTGTGCTGGTGCTACGTGCCCTGCAACACAGCCAGGGTCACTACTAAGTGCCCTGCGGAAGGGTACTTGTGCTTCGCCTTCGCTTGGCATTGCGGGCTGCTGCATCGTCCCTGTTGACCATGCGAGCATGGAAGCATGGAAGTATAGGATCATGTGAGCATGTGGGCATGGAAGCATGGAAGTAGGGGATCATGTGAGCATGCGGGCATGGAAGCATGGAAGTATGGGATCATGTGAGCATGCGGGCATGGAAGCATGGAAGTATGGGATCGTGTGAGCATGCGGGCATGGAAGCATGGAAGTATGGGATCATGTGAGCATGCGGGCATGGAAGCATGGAAGTATGGGATCATGTGAGCATGCGGGCATGGAAGCATGGAAGTATGGGATCATGTGAGCATGCGGGCATGGAAGCATGGAAGTATGGGATCATGTGAGCATGCGGGCATGGAAGCATGGAAGTATGGGATCATGTGAGCATGCGGGCATGGAAGAATGGAAGTATGGGATCATGTGAGCATGCGGGCATGGAAGCATGGAAGTATGGGATCATGTGAGCATGCGGGCATGGAAGCATGGAAGTATGGGATCATGTGAGCATGCGGGCATGGAAGCCTGGAAGTATGGGATCATGTGAGCATGCGGGCATGGAAGCATGGAAGTATGGGATCATGTGAGCATGCGGGCATGGAAGCATGGAAGTAAGGGATCATGTGAGCATGCGGGCATGGAAGCATGGAAGTATGGGATCATGTGAGCATGCGGGCATGCGGACAAGCGGAACACAACAAAATCAAGCATGAGATAACATGCATAACATGAGATGGGCGTCATAACATGCATGCGAGCGAGCCATCGAATCAGGATGCGATCAAGACATGCTTACAAGGGTGGAAAGAAAGCAGCACACTGCTTATATGGGGGATGCGTCATTCAGCAGAGAGATGGCACGGCAACTTACAGAACAAAGCAGAGGAACACATGTAGCTTCTACTGTGGTAAAGGCTGATGCTAAAGGTTGGATAGAAATCATAGGCAGGGAGGATGATGTTACAGGGGGGATGGAGCTGACAGGGGAGATGCAGCATACAGTGCGACTGGATCTTACAGAGGGGAGGAGGCAGCCTGTGGGGCGGCAGTAAGGGCAACGCTGTGCGATGCCCGCTTGGACTTGATTTTTGCGGCGCCTCAAGAATAGGCTTACAGGGGCGAGGAGGTGACAGGCGGGGCGGCAGTGAGCGCAACGCTGTGCGATGCCCGCTTGGACTTGCTCCTCTCCTTGCGCTCCTTGCGACTGATGGGGGTGTGGGGAAGGAGTGGGAGGGGAGGGGGATGAAGAGTGGGGGAAACCGGGGAGACAGCGACGGCAACGCTGTGTGATGCCCGCTTGGACTTGCTCCTCTCCTTGCGCTCCTTGCGACTGATGGGCATGCGGGGAGTGGGGGTGGAGAGGGGGACGAAGAGGGAGAGAGACGCGGTGAGGAAGAGTGGGGGAAAGTGGGGAGGCAGTGAGCGCAACGCTATGTGATGCCCGCTTGGACTTGCTCCTCTCCTCGCGCTCCTTGCGACTGATGGGCATGCGCAGAGGGAGAGGGGGAGAGGGAGGGGGTGAGAGGGGAAGGATGGGAGGGGGAGAGAGGGAGAGGGGAAGGATGGGAGGGGGAGAGAGGGAGAGGGGAAGGATGGGGAGGGAGAGGGGAAGGATGGGAGGGGGAGAGAGGGAGAGGGGAAGGATGGGAGGGGGAGAGAGGGAGAGGGGAAGGATGGAAGGGGGAGAGAGGGAGAGGGGAAGGATGGGAGGGGGAGAGAGGGAGAGGGGAAGGATGGGAGGGGGAGAGAGGGAGAGGGGAAGGATGGGAGGGGGAGAGAGGGAGAGGGGAAGGATGGGAGGGGAGAGAGGGAGAGGGGAAGGATGGGAGGGGGAGAGAGGGAGAGGGGAAGGATGGAAGGGGGAGAGAGGGAGAGGGGAGCCAGGGAGGCAGTGGAGCATGGAAGTGAAAGAAATGCCAATGGCGAAGAATTCATCCAGACGGGGGTTCATAGGTGTTCTCCCAGGAACATGTTGTTCTCCCAGAAACATGGTGTTATCCCAGGAGGGTAAAGGTAGCTAACTACCCATTCAGAGTGGGGACTCACTCGTGCAGCATGAGGGCAGGGTTGCGGCAGTATTTGAGCTTCCTGTCGATACGCTTCACCACATCTGCTGCTGGTAGCGGCCCTGATGCCTTCACCTGCCGAGTTATTGTGTGATTAATGAAGTGGGGAGAGGTGAAACCGATTGACCTGTGAGCGACCACATGCCTTCACCTGTTGAGTCGTTTTGCGATCTGGGGAGTATTTTTTGAAAATTCTAAAAAAACACGATCTGGGGAGTATTTTTTGAGAATTCTAAAAACACACGATCTGGGGAGTATTTTTTTAGAATTCTAAAAAAACACGATCTGGGGAGTAATTGATTTGTGAGCAACTGGCACAAGGTCGACTAACATGCAATTGATTCTCACGGCATACTCTCATCATGCTCTCCACCACTCTCCACCTCTCACCACCTCTCACCACCTCTCACCACCTCTCACCATGCTCTCCACCTCTCACCACCTCTCACCACCTCTCACCATGCTCTCCACCTCTCACCACCTCTCACCACCTCTCACCACCTCTCACCACCTCTCACCACCTCTCTCCACCTCTCACCACCTCTCACCACCTCTCACCACCTCTCACCATGCTCTCCACGGCCTTCACAGCAGCCAGCAGCTCCGCACCCACATGCCCCTGCCCTGCCCCTAGCTCCTTCCCTGGTGCTGCCTTGGCAGGAGGGGATGCAGCCACCACGGAGTCAAGAAAACTGGAGGCAGAGCGATTGGGTGGGAGTGAGAGTGAGTGAGGGATGAGAGGCAAGTGAGGAGGAGGGGTTTGGTGAGAGTGAGAGTGAGTGAGGGATGACGAGAGATGGTGGCAGGGGATGTGTGAGGCGTGCGCGTGGAAGGGAGGGGAGAGAAGCACGAGTCCATGAGGGGAGAGAAGCACGAGTCCATGAGGGGAGAGAAGCACGAGTCCATGAGGGGAGAGAAGCACGAGTCCATGAGGGGAGAGAAGCACGAGTCCATGAGGGGAGAGAAGCACGAGTCCATGAGGGGAGAGAAGCACGAGTCCATGAGGGGAGAGAAGCACGAGTCCATGAGGGGAGAGAAGCACGAGTCCATGAGGGGAGAGAAGCACGAGTCTTATGGTCTAATGAGTACGAAAGGATGCCATGCCACCCATGATCAGTCCATGCGCATGACACCATCTCCACGACCCATGACCATTCCGATGCCCCAGGGAACAGTTTGGATGGTGTGGTGCGGTGCAGTGTGGTGTGACATGGTGGGAGCAGCACCTTTGGAAGTTGGGGATGGCGGAGGAGGCGTTGTTGGCGAGCTTGATGGCTGCTAGCGCCAGCTGCCTGGGGCGGCGGAGGAGTGCGGTGCAGTGGGGCGGAATGGGGTGGCGCGGGGAGGAGCCGGGGTTTGTGAGGTATATGAGCGAGTATGAGACAAATGGCGCTGATACTGTGTGGCATAGAGAGGGAGAGAGTAAATGGCGATGTCTGAAAAGAGGGCAGTGCGGTGGTGCGGTGTGGAATGGGTTGACTTTTGAGTCGACTCAAAAGTAAGTGGCGATGTCTGGAAAGAGGGCAGTGCGGTGGTGTGGTGTGGAATGGGGAGCAGTGCGGTGGTGTGGTGTGGAATGGGGAGCAGAGCGGAGAGGAGAGACAGAGAATTGCCCTGGAGGGAAGAGCAGAGGTGCGTCGGTGAGGAATATCGACCCCACCGCCGCATATGCCCCCTGTGTCAGCGCCTGAGGGCAGAGAAGCAGAGGGTGGAGAACGATGGAGAGAGATGGGAGGGATAATTGGAGAATTTATGAGCTGAAAGAGCATTTGATATGGGAAAGAGGAGGAATGGATAGGAAGAATGCAATAATCTGAAAGAGAGTGTCACACCAGTGCAATGCCATACCTCACTCCATCATGCCTCACAAACGCGTACTTACCTCATTCCACATCAGCAGAAAATCATGTTTGCACTTTATGTTTGCATGACCCATGCTCCACGCCCGCTGCCCACCAGCACTTGCCTGGATTGTTTGCTTCTTCACGTCCTCAGGCTGAGACGCGAATGGCTCCCTTAGCAGCTTCGAAGGGAGGCCGGGATTGGAGGAAGGGAGGGGAGTGGGAGGGGCGAGGGGAAAGAGCAACAGCAGCAGCGTGAGGGGTAGGTACTATAAGGGTGAGCACAGCACAGTGAGCGCTTGAAGCATGAGAAACAGAGCATATACCTCTGCTGGTTGCAACACGAAGCCACCATTGGCCCTTTACCGCTCTGTATGGCCCTTAACCGCACTGTTGTGCACGGTAAGGTGGAGCAGGAAGCCATCGATGGCACGATAGGGCCCGGTGCAGATGAGGTCGCAACGGAGCGTCTGTAGCACCCCAAACCCCATGTGCCCATTGCGCCCCATGACCCCCATGCGCCCCATGAGCTCATTGCGCCCCATGAGCCCATTGCGCCCCATGACCCCCATGCGCCCCATGCGCCCCAGTACACCCCACACGACTTTTGAGACGTGTCATAAGGAGTCTGTAGCACCCCGTGCCCCATGTGCCCAGCCAATTGCGCCCCAGTACACCCCACCCCACACGGCCTATCTGCAGCACTGATCTCACCTGCTCCAGCTGCAGCAGGGAGCTGTCAATGGCGCGGTAAGGCCCGTAGCAAGCAGATGAGGTCGAGCCTGCGCGTCTGCAGAACCCCGTGCTCCATGTGTCCCTTGCACACCACAAGCCATATCAGCACCCCCTCACCTGCTCCAGCTGCAGCAGGAAGCCGTCAATCGCCCGGTAAGGCCCGTAGCAGATGAGGTCGAACTTGAGCGTCTGCAGCACCTGCACCTCGCAGCCCAGCACCACCTGCGGGTCCTGCCCTATGCCCCTCCCAAACTCCTCCGCTGATACATACACCTCGTCCACCTTGCACGCTATGTAGATGACTGTCAGCCTGGCGTGGGGAGAAAAGGAGTGGAGAAAGAGAGATGGGCGGAACGGGAGCACAGGTGGAAAACAGACACCACATTTGATCTCAGCCAAGCAAACCGTAACCCCTCACACGCAGCCCCCACCACCCTGCCCTCACACGCAGCCCCCACCACCCTGCCCTCACACGCAGCCCCCACCACCCTGCCCTCACACGCAGCCCCCACCACCCTGCCCTCACACGCAGCCCCCACCACCCTGCCCTCACACGCAGCACTGAATCCCTCCTTGGAGCTCATATAAAGCCGCCACCACCCAGAACTCACATGATGCTTTTAGGGTCATGCTCCATAACGGAGCACATGAGGAAGAAGCGTTTGAAGTACTGTAGCGAGGTGGACTGTAAGGGGTACACATGGGCGGCAGGGAAAGGTGGGTGGGCATACAGGCAGTGCATCAGATGGGGAGTATGGTGTGACTTTTGAGGCGCCTCAAAAGGAGACGACTTTTGATGCGCCTCAAAAGGAGTATGGTGTGAGATGATGTAGGCTCATCACGTGCAACAGCGCTAATGCTCTTGAAGAAAAACCACATAAAAACTGATATAAACTCTCAGCCTACTACCCTTAACTTGGACCAAAATGGCCCAGCACGCACAATCTCAGAAAGCAGAAAGCAGAAAGCTTGACTTGCAACGCACGTAGATCTTGTAGGGGAAGCGGAAGGCGGCACAGACTTCTTGGATCTTGCCCTCGTAGTACCGACACATCACCCTCTCCTCCTCCTCGCTCAACGCCTTCGGCCGCGGCACCTCCCCTCCCGCCCCATCCGCCCCGTTCCCCCCATTGGCCCCATTGGTCCCTCCTCCACTTTCCCCCGTCCTTCCTCCTCCTGCTTCCGCCTGCCCTATCCCCCGATTGCCTTCCCCGTTCGCCCCTCTTCCCGCTGCCACTGCTGCTGTGGTGTGGCCGTCCGCTGACGTGGCGGCGTCTGATTGGCCCCTGGACTCAACCAGGGCGGGGTTGGTCGACGGTTCCACTCTGCTGTGGCCGTGCTGAGCGCGTTGACCAGCGTTGACCAGGGGTGACCGCGTGTCGGAGTAAGAGAAATCACAAAAAGGACATGAAGGGATGAAGGGAATGGGAAAGGCAGCAGTAAGAAGAATAGAATCTAGAAGGCTACAACCCATCCAGCCCGTCCGTTCACTCCCATTCCACGCCACCATCTCTACCCTCCCAACACGCTCTGAGTAGCATCGACCCCTTTCCCGCGCACGCCTCTTCTTCGCGCACCTTTTGAATGGCATCGACGGCCCGCTGGTTGTTCTTGGCGCGCATCGTCGCCAGCTCAGCGGCGCTGAAGATCCAACGGCTGCAGTGGGTCGACGTGCGCCACTCCGCCATGCGCGCCGCTCCGTCGGATCGACTCTAATAGCCGTTAACTAGGATCCTGCATCCGTTAACTAGGCTTTTTAATCTCCACCACTAGAAGCCGCACCACTAGAAGCCGCACCGCTAGAAGCCGCACCACTAGAAGCCGCACCGCTAGAAGCCGCACCGCTAGAAGCCACACCACTAGAGGCTAGTCCACTAGAAGCAATAAACTCGACACTGCGTCAGCAGCCGCTAAAACGTGAAGCACCTTATAGGATCCCCTAGCGGCAAGCAACCTAAGAGGCGCTTCAATGGTGGTCCGCGATCGGTATCATAAAGCAACTGGCTTTTGATTGACTCAGGGGGTGCCGAGAAGGATCCTCTGGCGTGAGAAGCTCGGCGCGCTTCACCCACGCGTGTGTCGCACGAATGGATGAGCGGGCGAAGGAAAAGGTCGCACGAAGTCAGCAGGTAAGGCGGAAATTCAGTACGCTGGGCCAGGTTGGGAGATGATGCGGTGCGGTGTGTTGAATCCGTGTAGTTTTGGTGGAAGTATGGGGAGGCAGGTTCAGCTGCATGGCAGTCATCATGGCATGGCAGGTTTCTGGACCCAGACTCGGATGGTTGTTGTGATGAAATCACATGCAAACGCGTTGACTTGTTGTGCAGTGACGCGTTTCAGATATTACAGTTGCTAAAATCCGCCGCATCTATGTTAACATTTTTATACTAGATCAGAACACAATTTTTGTTCTAACCTTTCCCTTGCCTAGCTCCTTCAGTATGAGAACCAGCACGAACTGGTCAGCCACATGTTCTAAGACCATCCGCACCTGGACCAATATGCTGCTAGCAATTTCTGCATCACCGGTACTTGGAAACATATAGCGAGCTAGGGAGTGGCGACGATGAGGTAACGAGCAAGAATCTACTAATGGTTGATAACTAGAGGAGCAAGGTGATGGGGTTGGAGAGCAACGACTTGAACTCGCCCATCCATTGCGCTCCCACCGCCCCTGCAACACCACAATGGAAGAGGGGGGAACAGAAGAGAATCAGTAGAAGAATACAGAATGACCCAGTTGATCTGTTCACCCAAAAGCTCGTTCGCAAGATACGTGGTTTTCATTGCAATTAAGTGAATGGAGGCTTGACTTATGGCCGGAGGCCAATCCACATGCCATCCGAGGCCCATCCGAGATATACCACCCACAACGTACCGTCGACAACGCGGTGGTCGCAGCTGAGAGTGACTGTAGCGAAGGGCTGCACCGCGAACTCCCCCTCTGCTGCTCCTGGCACCACCCTTTCTTGCGCTGCAGAGGGTGACAGGCACGCCAGTGGCAGGATGTGAGAGATCGGTGGAGAGTGAGGTGCAGAAAATGAGTGACCATGTGATGCATGATTGCATAAATTGCTGATCGATAAGGTGTGTGTGAGCACACGAGGTGCGAGCGCACATGCAGTGTAAGCACATGCAGTGTAAGCACATGCAGTGTAAGCACATGCAGTGTAAGCACATGCAGTGTAAGCACATGCGGTGTAAGCACATGCGGTGTAAGAGCAAGCACGGGGGGAGGATGAGGAGCAGAGGCACACTTACCAGAGCCGATGGTGAGGAAGCAGGACTGGGGGGGGTGGATGATGGCGGAGAGAGACTTGAGGCCTGCTCCACTCACATCCGACACTGTGAATGTTGCACCCTGTGAGCGTGGGGAGGAGGGTGGCAAGAAAGGCATGACTTCTGAAACCCGTCTTTGTTCCTAGCCAACATGTGACTGCCTGCTTTTGGATTGTGAAGCTCGTCCCACCGTGTGCCCCGCTCCCCACCATGCTAGTAAAGGTGAAGCTCACCCCACCGTCATGCATTGATATCACCTTGACTGGCATTGCCCTCCAGCATTCTCCGAGCCAACCTCATTAATCAATCAGGTGATTAACCCCTTGATCCGCACACATGACACCGAGCCTGTAACCATACTTAGACCGAAGGAGTTACGAACCTGGAGGTCAGCTTCGGAGAGAGTCTTCTCCGCAGCTGCAGTGGAGAGGCGGTTGATCTCCGATGCGATCTGGGCCAGGCCCTTGGTGTTGGCCGCCTGCAGGGACGCAGCAGCACGTATGGTGCAGGGGGCAGGGGGCAGGGGGCAGGGGGCAGGGGGAATGAGTGCAGGGTGCAGGATGGGTGAGAAGACAAGACATGAGCAGCTGAAAAGGGATGGTAAAGCATGGCGTTACAATGACGCAGCGTCACCATTACGCGGCGTTACCATTACGCGGTGTTGCCATTATGCGGCGTTACCATTACGCGGCGTTATCATTACGCGGCCCGGCGTTACCATTATATGGCGTTATCATTACGCGGCCGCGGCGTTACCATTACGCGGCGTTACATGATGACAGCTCGTTACCTTGATGACGGGGTACAAAGTGCCGTCAGGTGTGGAGACAGCGATCGCCACATTCACATCGGAGTACCTGCCATGCCATGCCATGCACACACAGGCATGGGGGACGCACATGCACACAGAGGCATGGGGGACGCACATGCACATGGGACACACACATGATTAGACATACATACCGACAGCCATGCCTGAGCCACACACACCATATTCCATTGTGATGGATGGTGGGCAGGGATACACGAACGGCTGCGTGCAGAGAGACAGGAAGGCAGGCAGGCAGGGGGTCTGCCTGTGAGGCATGTTCATGCAGGCGAGGCATCTTCCTGCAGGCGAGGCATCTTCCTGCAGGCGAGGCATCTTCCTGCAGGCGAGGCATCTTCCTGCAGGCGAGGCATCTTCCTGCAGGCGAGGCATCTTCCTGCAGGCGAGGCATCTTCCTGCAGGCGAGGCATCTTCCTGCAGGCGAGGCATCTTCCTGCAGGCGAGGCATCTTCCTGCAGGCGAGGCATCTTCCTGCAGGCGAGGCATCTTCCTGCAGGCGAGGCATCTTCCTGCAGGTGAGGCATCTTCCTGCAGGCGAGGCATCTTCCTGCAGGCGAGGCATCTTCCTGCAGGCGAGGCATCTTCCTGCAGGCGAGGCATCTTCCTGCAGGCGAGGCATCTTCCTGCAGGCGAGGCATCTTCCTGCAGGCGAGGCATGTTCCTGCAGGCGAGGCATCTTCCTGCAGGCGAGGCATCTTCCTGCAGGCGAGGCATCTTCCTGCAGGCGAGGCATCGTCCTGCAGGTGAGGCATGTTCCTGCAGGTGAGACATCTTGTTGTTGTATATGTCGTACAAAGGCCCACGGGGCGGGCAGCAAGTGACTCACTCGCGAATGAACTCTCCACCCCAGGAGCTGTTGCATGCAGGAACCTTCTTGGAAGCCAGCGCTGCAGCCTGTTGTTGTACAATGCAGGAAAAAAGGGTTGAAGAAAGAAAGATTGTGTAGGTGGACGCGGGCATTGTGTGACGTACAAATAGCAGCGCATGCACAAGACATGCATGGGACATGCCATGCCCGAGAGTGCCACATACCTTGATGAGTAGAGCGGTAGAGGTGACCTGCACATCAGATGCTGCATTCAGCTGCTCCAACACCCTGAGAGGTTCACAGAGATGCAGAGAGATGTACAGAGATGCAGAGATGACATGTGTTGTGGCAGAAATTGAAGTCGAGACATTACATGGGCTAGGAGAAAGAGGGAGGTCAAATTAGACTGCGTGTAGGCAAGCAAATTTGTGTGCACGTGTGAATGGTGTGTGCAAGCAAGCACAAGCGTCTGTAAATGGTAGCTCAACCTTTATGTGTGTGTGCGCGCATGTGCGTGCATGTGCGTGCATGTGCGTGCATGCTGAGTGCATGCTGAGTGCAGGGAACGCACTTGGCGGCAGCATTGAGGGGAGCGTCAGCAGAAAGGTAGAAGTGTGGCACGGTCTGAATGGACAGCTGCATCTGCTCCGCCACTCGCTGTGACACACGGGGGGGAGAGGGAGAGAGGGGACAAGAGGCGGGAAAAGGGGGGGGGGGGGGGGGGGGGCATGAGCGTAAGCCGAGAGGTAGAAGTGCGGCACCGTCTGGATTGACGGCTGCATCTGCTCCGCCACTCGCTGTCACACACGAGGGGGAGAGGCGGAAGGGAGAGTTACAACGCAGAAGACATGGAAGGAGATATGGCTGACTTGCAAGCAGCAGCAGAGTGAGCGCCGGCACCAGGAGCAGCAGCAGCAACAGGCGGAGTTGGGGGCCAGCAGCAGGGGTGGAGGCTGCGAGGAGAGTGCCTACAGCAGGAGGGTGCACGCCTCACCTTCCTGAGCTCGTCCACACTGGCTGACATGGCCGCTGCAGGCGCAGCAGCAGCAGTGGGAGCAGCAGGTGCAGCCGGGGAGTCAGCAGCAGGGATGGGGGCTGCGAGGAAAGTACCTACGCCTCACCTTCCTGAGCTCGTCCACACTGGCTGACATGGCCGCTGCTGGAAGAGCAGCAGCGGCAGGAGCACAAGCAGCATGCCAGCACAAGCACCGGCACCAGTACTAATACCTACAGCAAGTACCAATGCCTCACCTTCCTGAGCTCGTCCACACTGGCTGACATGGCTGCTGCGGGAGGAGCAGCAGCAGCGGGAGCACCGGCAGCAGCAGGTGCAGTGGAGGGGGCAGCAGCAGCGACAGGGCGCGGCTGCGAGAGGAAGGCCTCCACGTCCTCCTTCAGCACACGGCCGTTGGGACCCGACCCTGCCACCAATGCCATGTCCACCTGACGTGGAGGAGGGAGGACAGACGGGCGGAGGAGCATATGTGGGAGGACGCATGGGGGATGCTTTCTCTCAAACACTCCACTGCTCACTGCCCCTTGTCACACTCTCACCCTCACACCCCATCCCCCTTCCCAACCCCTTATCTGTTCGCTTCTCCAATGTCAGTCGCGCGCTCTCACACCCCATTCCCCTTCTCCAATCCCCTCCCACGGACCTTGTGTTCAGCAGCCAGTTTGCGCGCAACAGGGCTGGCAAACAAGGTGACTTTTGAGTCGACTCAGAAGTTCAGCAGCCAGTTTGCGCGCAGCAGGGCTGGCAAACACCCTCGCGCCCTCTGCTCGACCTCTCCCCTCATCCCTGGTGCCCCAACCCCTTACACCCCCTCCCCCCGCCACCCATCCCAGACCCCCCTCTACATCCCCTCCCAACCCACCTTGTGTTCTGCAGCCAGTTTGCGCGCAGCAGGGCTAGCAAACACCCTCGCGCCCTCTGCCCGCGCAGGGGGAGGGGGAGGGGGCGCGGCAGCCGCTGCTGGCGCCGCTGGTGCAGCAGGCGGGGGGGAAGGCGAAGCCGGGGCGGCAGCAGCAGCAGCAGCAGCAGCAGCGGGGGCGGCAGCAGCAGCAGCGGGCGTGGAGGGTGGCGTGTAGTTGGCAAACTTGGGGACACTCTCTGAGTCATCCACTATCACGGCGATGGGCTGATGGGGGCAGGGGGGGGGAGCAGAGGGAAAATGGGAGCGGGAAAGAGGAGAGAGAAGGGGGAGAGGGAAACGGGAGAGGTAAAGGGAAGAGGGAAAGTGTTGGGCGGACGCAGAGGGCGGCATGTAGTTGGCAAACTTGGGATCGCTCTCTGAATCGTCCACTATCACAGCGATGGGCTCATGGGGGCAACAAGTGGGAAAGGGGGATGGGAGAGGGGAGAGGGGCGCGGGGAGAGGGGAGAGGTTAGAGGGGAGAAGGAGCGGGAGGGCATGGGGATTGAATCAACTGAAGATGTTATTCTGCTGCTGCTGGAAGAGCCCCTGGTGGCTACTGCTGAGCTGATCAGTCTGGCGGATGCAGTCGGGGAGACGAGCGCGCCATGCGCCATGCACGCATCACCCAGTGCGCAGGCACATGCACGCACACGGCGTGTACCAGCTCATCCGACGCACATGCGCCACTCAGTGCGACCCATCCAACGCACATGCGCCACTCAGTGCGACCCATCCAACGCACATGCGCCACTCAGTGCGACCCATCCAACTCACCGTGCCGACGGCAACGTCCTTGGCGCCGGCGTGCACGAGGATGGACGCGAGGAAGCCGTCGTCCATGGCCTCCATCTCCAGGGTCGCCTTGTCCGTCTCGATCTCGCACAGCACCTCCCCCGCTGCCAACGCGTCGCCCACTGACTTGCGCCACCGCACTATGTTGCCCTGTTGGAGGCGGGCGGGGAAGAATTGATTAGAAAGGGAAGGGTCGAGCGGGAATGGAGAGGAGGTGGGAAGAGAGGGGGAAGGGGGCCCATGGCATGGGTGAGGGATGACATGGTTTCACCGTGTGATGGAATGGACTTGTTTGGGATGGGATTGGAATGGATGCGGTGGGTAAGAGCATGCACAGGAAGAGTACCTGGGTCAGGTAAAGCCGATGGCATGGCACATGAACCGCACATGAACAACACGCGGGTCACACAACGAGCAAGCACATGAGCAGTAAGCACCTGGGTCATGGTAGGGGAGAGCGATGGCATGGCGAGCGAATGGAAGGGTGGCAAATCTGCACGGCAAGCATGGGTGGGTGGCAAGGGACAAGATGTCAGTGTTGGCGCAGGAAGTAGAGGCAACAAGAAGGAGGAGCAAGCAACCACCGTGCCCCACAATCCCGCAACCGTTCTTCATCCCGCCTTTCCTCCTCTCCGCAAACCCCCCCCCCCCCCCCCCCCACCTCCCTTCCCCCTCCTAACCCATCTCAACCTCCGCTGTCCACTTCCTCACCTCGCCCCTGCTTCTCTCCTCCCCACCTCAGCCCCGCCTCTCACACCACCACTCTCCCGTCACCACCTCTAGCCCCTCTCTTCTCCCGTGCACCTGATGGGGGTGTGGACGAGCCAGCGTCGGAGGGAGCGGCCGGGGCAGCAGCGGCAGGGGGCGCGGAGGCACCGGCGTCAGCAGCAGTGAAGGATGCGAATTTGGCGAGCTCGGTGTTGTCCTCCACCATCACTGCTATCAGCTGCGCGCGATAAAGGGGAAGAATGATGGGAGGGGATTGTTGGAGGCAAGGACATGTGAAGGACGAGGGGAGAGGGTAAGCCCTGATGGGGGAGGGGAGAGGGTAAGCCCTGATGGGGGAGGGGAGAGGGTAAGCCCTGATGGGGGAGGGGAGAGGGTAAGCCCTGATGGGGGAGGGGAGAGGGTAAGCCCTGATGGGGGAGGGGAGAGGGTAAGCCCTGATGGGGGAGGGGAGAGGGTAAGCCCTGATGGGGGAGGGGAGAGGGTAAGCCCTGATGGGGGAGGGGAGAGGGTAAGCCCTGATGGGGGAGGGGAGAGGGTAAGCCCTGATGGGGGAGGGGAGAGGGTAAGCCCTGATGGGGGAGGGGAGAGGGTAAGCCCTGATGGGGGAGGGGAGAGGGTAAGCCCTGATGGGGGAGGGGAGAGGGTAAGCCCTGATGGGGGAGGGGAGAGGGTAAGCCCTTGGACAATTCGGTGGTGTCCTCCACCATCACTGCTATCAGCTGAGGGTGGCAGAGGGCAGGATGATATGGGGTGGGAGGATAAACATGGTAGCTGTAAGGCAGGTGCGGCACAAAACACAAGTTCTGGTGAGACAAAGAAGGATGTGTGCAACACAGTAGAATTCAGAAGATTCTTATGTGTCAATCAACTGATCGGCCCGCTTGGTCCTCTTGGTTGACTTGCCAATGGGGATGTTCTTGGAGCCCTGGGGTGACCTGAATCTGCTAATAAATATCTTCCTCGTTGACTGGAGTTGACTGGCGTTGACTGGCTGTGACTGTGTGTGACTCACAGTGCCGACGGGGATGTCCTTGGAGCCCTCGGGCATGAGGATTTTGGCGAGGAAGCCGTCCTCCATGCTCTCCATTGATAGCGTCGCCTTGTCCTGCCGTGGGTGCATGCATGGTGCATGGTGCATGGTGCAGGCATGCATGACGCATGCCACATGAGACATGTAACATCCCCCCAAAACCACATGAATCATGATGCATGACCATGATTAATACACATGTCATATCATGTAGTAGTACCACCATGCAACATGATGCCATGTCATGTCATGTCATGTCAACAAAAGGGGTGCACAGACATGCCATGCACAGACGCGCCATGACATGGCATAGCAACAAAAGGGGTGCTCTTGTGAGATCGCATGCCTGTCAAATGCATGTGCACACATGCTGTCTGTCCCGCATGTGCAGCACACATGCTGTCTGTCCCGCATGTGCAGCACACATGCTGTCTGTCCCGCATGTGCAGCACACATGCTGTCTGCAAGCAACAACAACCGGAATCGTTCCACGCGCAACAAACTCACCGTCTCGATCTCGCACAGCACGTCGCCCGCGTTCACCTGCTCGCCCTCCGCCTTGCACCACTTGGCGATGTTGCCCTGGGGGGAAGGGCGGGCGGGAGAGGGGGGGGAGGAAGGGGAGCGTGTGTGTGTGAGGTGTGGGTGGCAGGTGGACAGAAAAGCCCTACCCCCCCCACCCGTGCAATGCTGTGCTGCATTGCTGTGCTGCATTGCTGTGCTGCAATGCTCATCAGCCACCTCACCTGCCACCTTTACCAACTAATCCGACCCAGCACCAACCCGCCACCAGCCCGGCAACTTGCCTCAGCTCTCACCCGCCCCAGCAGTCACCAGCCCGGTGACACCTGCCCCAGTACCGACCTGGCCCAGTACCAACCTGCGTCATGGTGGGGGAGAGCGACGGCATGGCGACGGGTTGGTGGGGCGGAACTGCATGTCGGCATGGAGAGGGGGGGGAAAGAGATGTATGTGACAAGAGGGACGGAATGACTTTTGAGTCGACACAAAAGTCACCATGGCGACGGGCTGGTGAGGCGGAACTGCAGTGCGGCACGGAGGGAGACGGGGGAGGAGATGTGACATGGGGGGCGGAATGGACACGCATTGTCGTTTACGTCCGGGACACCGTTGCAATCAAATCGCATTGGAGAAAACGAATCTGCTGACTCTTATTTGTCGCGATCGACATGCAGGCGACGTCAAGACACGTACAGGCGGAGGCGGCGGCGGCGGCGGCGGAGAATTTGCGCGCAGAGTTCCAGCGGAAGGACATCCCCGGCAGCGACACAGACGCATGGTGTGCGGATGGCGCGCGGGAATCGAGCAGAGCGGAAGGCTTGGCGGCGGAGGCGGAACGGGCGGAAGCGGAGATGAGCGGGGAGCTGCGGAAGGGGAAATGGGGACGACAGGACACGAGGGCACTCGACACGACATGAGTAATCGCAAACGCGGTGCATCATACCCCGTATGCAGCGCGAATGCGTGCAGTGTATACAGCGCAGGGCTAAGGCGTGCTGCACCAGGGCGTGCAGCCCTAACGCGGGTAGCGGCACACGTAACGAGTTTCTTTCCCAATCGGCACACAGAAAGTGCGAACTCGGAAGGCCTCAGGCGCGCGTATGAGCGTCCGGTAACGCTCTTCGATCTGCTTGACGCAGGAAGGCGAAGCAAGGCTCGACAGTTGGTTCATATTAGCGAGATGGGGATCAAACGGCCGTTCACGACTGTTGCTTCAGCGGATCCGTGATTTCCTATGCCGGATTAGGGTTGTGATGCACCAGGATGGATGGAGAGAGTGCAGGTTAGCGAGTGAGAGGAGAATGGGAAGCCATAGATTCCATCCCGCACCTGATGCTATCCCGCACCTGATGCTATTCCGCACCTGATGCTGCTGGTGGTGTACGATGCGGATCGGATCTCCTTAGCTTGCGCATTCACCGCGTGTCCGCCAGCCGCCTGAACATGCAGCGCCGCCGCTGCCGCTGCGGGCGCAGCCTGCGGAACCACCGGCGCGGTGGACGCGGCGAGCAGGCGGCGGATGGCGGGCACGGGGACCGCGTGCTGCAGGTGACGACGCGACGCCATGGCTGCTGCTACGGTATGATTCGATATAAGCTGTCTGGATAGCTGCACGGTGAATCGCTTCGAGCTCCTAGAGACCAGGCTGGCGATTCGACGCGAGAGAAAGCGCCGAGGCTGTCGACTGGAATCCGAAGAATCGGAGAAAGCAACGACGAGGCACAGCAGATCCGGCCACGTGGTGAGCTGCAGGCAAGCGGACGCACAGAAGCGAAGCAGCACGCACGTCCCGCTACTGCTGCAGCTTGTTAGGCAGAGAGGCAGGTAGACCAGGAGGCTGCTTGTCTGTCCAATCTCGAGGTGCTACTGCTGCTGTCTCCGAAGCAAGCCGCAATCAGGAAGGGGTGGAGAACGGTCGAGGCGGGAAGGGGGGAGGGGAGTGGATCTGGGGTGTGGAGGGGGAGTTGAGGAAGTGGCGGTGGCGGAGACGGGGGTGAGAGATATTCCTGGCGCACGGAGATCCCAAGGGTGCAGCGAATGCGCGTGACACGCACCAGCATGAATGTGAGGAGAGATCTGCGGGCGATGCTGGTACGGGATTGGGTGAAATGTTTTTCGCCTGCCGCTGTCTCTGCCGAGGACCGATCTGGGAACAGCGATGGTTGTTCCAATCGACACGAACGATCAAAGATGCCGAAATTTCATAACCAAAGTACAACTACTCTGCTCTGCTCTACTGCTACAATTCACGAAACGGGGCCTCTCGTACGCGTACATATTCAGCATGTTGCACAAACGGGGCCTCGCATACGCGTACAAATCCAAGCACGCAAAAGCACAAGCAGGGACACACGATGTAGTGCGAAAGCACAAAACCCGATCTCGCCGTTCGTCAGGTATTGCGACTGGCAGGCCATCGCCGCTCCGCATCTCGCGCGACCTCACGCGAGTTTCTTTTAGAGCTCTCGCGCGCGTTCATTCTCGAGGGGCGCCCGTGACGGCGGCCCCGCAAGTTGAGGAGGCTCGGCGCGCAACGATAGGGCTGTTGGCGCCCGTGACGGCGGCCCCGCAAGTTGAGAGTTCAGACGATGGCGACGACAGCCCTGCAGGCCTCCAATGCCTTTCAGCGGCTCTCACCCCGCTCGCCCGCACCCGCACGGCGGCTGATAGTCCTGCTGCTGCTGTTGGCGTTGCTAGTGCTCGTGTGCGGGAGCAGAGGCGGCGAGGGGCTGGGGGAGGAAGGGGGCGAGGGGAAATCGGAAGAGCAGCAGGATGCGGATGAGGATGAGGAGGAGGAGGCTCGGCGCGCAACGATAGGGCTGTTGGCGCACGGGTGGAACGACGTGCGCGAGTGGCGCGCGGCGCTGGTGAAGGGCGTGGAGTACGTCAAAATCGACTTTTCCTGGATGCCGCCCGCAAGGTGCAAACTGCAGGTGCGGCACCCCTCTCAGATGCGCCCTGCAGGTGGGACGAGGGACGAGGGGCGAGGGGCGAGGGGCGAGGGGCAAAGAGGGACTTCCTTCCCCGTGCTGCTTCCTGCCCTCCCCTTACCGTCCTCCCCTGCTTCCATCCTCGCTCCTCCCACCTTTCTCACTCTCATCTCATCATCCCTCCTCTTCCCTTTCCCCCCCCCACCGCACCCCTTCTCCATCCCTCCATTCCTTCTTCTCTCTGTCCTCCTCTGCCTTCCGTGTTCATCACAGGTGGGGCCGCACTGGCAGTACAACCCACATGGCTGCTTCGGATTGGTGCACTCGCTGACGTGGCTCAGCCGCCAGCTCAACACCAGCGATGACGTCATCGCGTTCCTCCGTGACCCGGCCAATCGCGGGCTTCTGACGTATCCGCGCCCACGGCTCTACATCCAGGTAGGGTGGGTGTGCGGAGTGCGGAGTGCGGAGTGCGGAGTGCGGAGTGCTGAGTGCTGAGTGCTGAGTGCTGAGTGCGGAGTGCTGAGTGCGGAGTGCGGAGTGCGGAGTGCGGAGTGCGGAGTGCGGAGTGGGGCGTGGAGTGTGGGGCATGTGGCATGGGGCGTGGGGGGCTAGAATTTGCATGCGTGGCTAACAAATGCACATGGCAGTAATTCTCAACTCCTCTGTCTCATTATGCTACCTCATTCACATGCGCTGTTTGGCACCACTCGTTCAAACCTCCAACTCACCCTCCCCCTCTCTCCCCACTCGTCCTACAACCCGCCAAGCCAGCTGTGCCCCAAGAACCGTCCACTCCTCTGCACCACCAATCACACCCGCGCTGCCATGTCAGCTCAAGTCACCAGTCATGATTTGCCACGTGGCGACGTTGCTGAAGAGAAGGCCATCAGAATGCGCCCCACGGTGCCACGTGGCAGCAGCACGAGAGTGCTGAGAGGGATGGCACGTGGTACAGATTTATCCAGTAAAAACAACACCGCCAATGCAGGCGCATCTGGTGCATCTGGGACAGGTGCATCTGAGACAGGCGAATCTGGTGCAGGTACATCTGCAGCGAGCAGGGCAAGGCAGGGGGGAGACGGCATAAGGTGGGGGGACGAGGCAGTGCGGCAGTGGATGAGGCTGTTTGACGACTTCTTCCTGCGCGCCTCTACCGCCCTGCAAGAGCTCCACCTCAACACCGAGTTCTTCCTCAACGACGTGAGCCCCTCACACACGCCTGCTCTGGATTGTTCTTTCGAGGTGCATTATTAAGCGTCTCCTTCAACCACATGACAGCATCTCTCCCTATGCGTCCGTGCTGGTGTATTCGCCTCCCACTGCCGCCCTCAACTCCTCTGTGTCCCGTTTCCACCCCCATCAGACCCACCCTCACCCTTTCTTCCCCCGGGTTCTCCCCCGCCCTCGTGAGCAGATGGGTGGAAAGTGTGTGGCGCAGCGGTGGCGACCGTGGGTGATAGCATGGGACGACAACGACCTCACCAGCCGCCCCGCCACCACCAACGACCCGCATGATGCCTCCGACCGCTTCCAGGCATGCAGCATGTGGCGCATGGCATGTGACAGGTGTGGCAGGGGTGCGCCAGACATGTACATTCATTGATGGCATGAGGTACACTTGAAACGTGGCATGTTCATGCATGTGTGGCATGAGTCCACATTTACCCGCTGCGGTGGGCATGTGTCAGGTGCTAAACCATGACGCCACATTCACCTGTGTCAGGTGCTAAACCATGATGCCACATTCACATGTGTCAGGTGCTCAACCATGACGCCACATTCACATGTGTCAGGTGCTCAACCATGACGCCACATTCACATGTGTCAGGTGCTCAACCATGACGCCACATTCACATGTGTCAGGTGCTCAACCATGACGCCACATTCACATGTGTCAGGTGCTAAACCATGATGCCACATTCACATGTGTCAGGTGCTAAACCATGATGCCACATTCACATGTGTCAGGTGCTCAACCATGACGCCACATTCACATGTGTCAGGTGCTCAACCATGACGCCACATTCACCTGTGTCAGGTGCTCAACCATGACGCCACATTCACATGTGTCAGGTGCTCAACCATGACGCCACATTCACCTGTGTCAGGTGCTCAACCATGACGCCACATTCACCTGGTGGGCGGCAGCAGCGCAGCAGCAGTTCATGAAGTTCAAGGACTCGCCCTATGCCCTCGTGCTCTACGAGCCTCAGGTGAGCCTCAGGTGAATCTCAGGTGAGCCTCAGGCGAGCCTCAGGTGAATCTCAGGTGAGCCTCAAGTGAGCTTCACACGAGATACAAGTGAGATACAAGTGAGATTCTTAAGTAGCACTCCTGTGCCCTTGCTGCTGCTCGAGTCATATGCAACTTGCCTGTCAGTATGACATTGCCTTGCACTATCCAGCTCCCTTGCCATCCATTCCCGCATTCCTTCATGCCCTGCCCCACCTCGCCCCACCACCAGGACGAGAGGGCATTTGCCATGTTTGCAGACGTGTACCTCTCAGCCAACCTCACCCACACGCCCGGATTCCGCTTCGCCTCCAACATCGACCCCATCATGTTCCGCCTCTTCACCGCGCCCTCCTCCCACCTCGCCACCCACGCTCCCTACGCTGATGACGTCGCCTCGCCGCCTCCCCCCTTCTCTCGTCCTGCCGTGGCCGTCATTCCACTGCCCGCCAACTCCACGAGATATGGTGTGGCTTGGCATAACTTTTCCTCCTCCTCCTCCTCCTCCTCCTCCTCCTCCTCCTCCTCCTCCTCCTCCTCCTCCTCCTCCTCCTCCTCCTCCTCCTCCTCCTCCTCCTCTTCCTCCTCCTCGCACTCCTTTGCCATCCTAACCATCCATTGGCTACCAGACAGCCCACTGGACCCGCCCTCCTCCCCTGTCTACACTGTTCAAATCGCCCCATCCCTCCCTGCCGCCCACCCGCCTGAAACAGTGATCAACAGCAACCCACTGCCGGGCGGGGAACTTCTGTCTGCTTGTGAGGTGGAAAGTGGAAAGGGGGGCAGAGCTGATCGCAAGGGGGGAGAGACTCAAACTGGACAGGTGGGGTCTGAGCAGGTGGGATCTGGGCGGGTGGCATCTGTGAGTGTGTTAGACCTGCTGTACGGCATGACAGTGGCTGTCAGAGATGGCACGTTTCAGGGAGGAGGGGCAGGAGGAGATGGGATGGGAGAGGGAAGTAGGAGGAGGAGGACGGGTGTGGACGGGGTTGTGCTGGTAGCCAGTGATGCGTGTGGCGGCCATATCCTCCTGTGGCTCGCTTATGACTCGCTAGCTCTCACTCTTATATCGAGGATAGACCTTCCAGAGCGTATGCCGCAGCAGGCTGGCAGTAGCACGCAGCTTTCCTCAGTCGCGTGGAGCACTGTTGGTCTGGAGGGACCAGCTTCTAACGAGGATGGGGAGATTAGCAGTAAACAGCAGCAGCGGCAGCAGCAGCAGCAGCAGCAAGGGAAGAGCCCAAAGCATGGGGAGGATGAGGAGAGGGGAGTGGATGGGTCTGGAGTGGTGGTGGTGGGTGTAGAGGCGTACATTCCAAGTGGTAACCACCTTCTTGATGACTCCACAAAAGCAAGTGGTGGAGATGGGCAGAGGGCAGACGAAGAAGCAAGCAGGCACAG